GAAGTGTTTTCAATTAAAATTTCAGAGCATGTATCATTGGAAATTTTTGTCAGAAATATTATATTTTTTTAAAAAAAAATACCCAACTCGACCCATTCTTTAATTATCCAAATGAACTTTTTTACTATGCTGGTTCATAATTCAGTCCTTGAAGAATCGAATTCTAACTTGCATGGCGATGTTGATGTAAGATAATTATGTCTCATGTGGGAAATATGTAATATAGTCAGACGAAGCAATTCCCAGCAAAGTTTTGAATGAGACAAATATAATACATATTGTTATTTCTAACATGTGTGTTAGTGTTTCAGAAAAAAGTAAGTACAAGCAAGTTAAAAAACAGAGCATGTGCCACTTCTTATACTAGAACCAAGATAAAGGAAGGAAAGCTTCAAGCATCAGACGGAAAGATCAAACGAAGCCAAGTCTAGCACAAGAAGGAAAGTGATCAAGCTTCAGACGAAGTGTATTGAAGAACGAGAAGAAGTCCATACAGACCATAGACAAAACTTCTTCAAGTACCAGACAAAGATTAGTCAAGGCAAACCACAACATGAGGATCAAACGAAGCAAAGTCAAATGCAAGATGAAATACGACATGAGCACCAGATGATGTTGGATCAAATACCAGATGCAGATGTGTCAAGCACAACATAAAGCGCAACATAAGGATTCAGACGAAGGCTGGTCAAGAATCAGACGAAAGTCAACAACATATCAGATGAAGGACAACACAGACTGAAAAGCATTCCAGACAGAAATGAAGTCTATCCATCTACAATATTGACTAGACCAAAGAAAGTCAAAGCATTGATGACAAATGCTCAGACGAAGATCAAGTCTTGAGATGCACATGGACTACCAAACGCAGACAAAGACTGTCAGGCAAGCATTTGAAGAATCGAGTCTCAAGGGACAATTTAGGCATCGTCTACAATCATACAAAGAGCTCTCAATATGATCACGTGCTGGAATGAAAAGAAGAAGAAGAAGAAATGCAAGCCCAAAAGTCAAAGCATGCGTGTGTCAGAAAAAATATATTACTTTTTCAGATAAAGACGATGCCTCTGCAGCTACGATGACCGAAAAAGGATAGGAAAATCCTAGGTCACAGTTAAAGTTAGAAACTATAGCTAACAAAAACTTAGAAGACTTCACGTAATGTCTAAAAATAGGAAGCAACATTTAATGTAAAATCAAGTGCATTAAATGAGAAATCGAACTAGTCATGAACGACTACATTCTACTTCAACGGACACTTGCAACGAGCATATTTTACAGAGGCTATAAATATGACATGACTCCAAACCTGGAATGGTAGGTGAAAGCCCAAGAAGCAATGAAATCAGAGATAAAGCATACATAGTCAAATGTACAATATTGTATTTATCTCTGTAGACTAAGGAGTTCTAAGTGTAACTTAGGAACATAAACCTTAGTGAGTGTAGTAAATCTTTATATCCTCTCTGTGAGAGTAAACCACACACTCAAAACAAATTATCCATCATTTGTAAAGCCTGAAGAGGCTAGGGAAAGAATAATCGTAAAGCCCAGAAGGGC